TGTTTCTCCCACCCGGACCCGTTATTCAACTTTAAATTGGAAGTTTTTCTGTACTAAGGGACTGCAAGCAACCAACCAACAAACGCACGGAACAAAAGCTCAGCCAAGTTGCAGGGCATCTTGGCATAGGCGTGAAGTATGCATTTAAGTGTTTCCTGGGAGGGAGGGAGTGAGTAAGGGTGAGTGTGTGTGTGTGTGTGTGTGTGTGTGTGTGTGTGTGTGTGTGTGTGGTGCGGGTGGGGGTCGTCAGGAGCGGGGACTTGAAAGACAATTAAAGGCTGGAAATTGGGCGTTATTTAAAGCTTCACGCACAAAGATTTACAGATGTGAATGCGAGTATGTGTTTACAATCATAGATGCATGCCTACGTACAGGTTTAGATTTGTATAAATACGCACCTATTTATACTTGCGTAAATAGGTGTATAAATTGATATGCAATATATAAATTTATACCAGTAAGTATATTTATACTTACATTACGTAAACATGTGAAGGAAGGCGCATTTCTCTAGGCGTACATCTGTGAAATGGATGTCACCCTGCCACATACGAAGTGTGTGCCCTGAACTGTATGTGTGTGTAGAGGCTTGAATAGTGGGTAAGAGGGATCTTATTGCTTTTGTGGGTAGAAACCGCTTGGTGCTGCGAGATGTATATCTCAGGGGCCAGCGATGAGCAGTTCAGAGGACAGTAGAACACCCACGGTGTCATGCTGGCATACAAGACCATTCAAATTTGGAACTTAGACCCTTCTGCTCCCTCCCTTTATCCCCACTCCTAGATCTCCCCACCTTTATAAACAGGGTTGTCACCGGTGGTGACAGTCACTTGTCCGCTTCTATTCAAATACTCCCCAAAGCAGCTGTTCACATGAGCCTAGGGTCAAGGTTTCAGTTCTTGGCAGGATTCCAGGGGCCCTCTGAGTAGCACCCTGAAATGATCCCCAACCCCCAGGCCTGGGGCATTCTGGAAATGTCCTGATCCCCCCACATCCGGCATACTTGCCAGGTAGTCTTGGACACTTCCAGTAAAAGGACAGGAGAAAAGTCAGATGAGAGATCTAAGAAATAATCCATTGCCTGTGTCTGTTTTTGTTGTTGTTGTTAAGACGCTAAAATAATTCTAGGTTCCGCTCACATAAATCGGATTAGCAACGCACAGAGGGGGAATTAGGCACTCACTGTATAAAGGTCAAGTAAAGTATTTTGGAGGAAGTCTGCTTATGGGGGTGGGGTGGGTGGGAAGCGGTGCAGAATATACAGAAACATGCTACTGGGAAATAAAGAACGGAGGAACTCCACTGTCAGCCTGGGTCATTTGACACCCAACAAGCGGGCAATAAATTACATGCTACTCAGAAACACTTAGGGCACAAAGTGTTTTTGCGCGTCTGACACGATCTCCTTCCCTATCAGGCTTAACTGAGAAGCTCACCCTTGTTTCTGTCGTCATCGAGATGTTAAAAACAAAACCTCCAGGAGACTTAAGTCCTTACGTAGTTTTAAAGAGCCAAGGAAAGTTCACAGTTGCTGGAAACGCCCCAAAGGAAAGAAGAAATCTGGCGATGACATCGAGGATGTCTCCCAGGTTTAGGCCTTTCTAGCATGAGAAATGGGAATTGGTCTGTTTACAGAATAATCTTCCATAGGCAAGAATTGAAGGGAAAATGGGCACTTCTGAACTCTGGTTACCAGGTTAGTGTTGCCCAGATCGGGGACTCTTATGATGCGCGGCCAGTTGAACGCTCTGCTCCGGTTTCCTAAACCTTGGTCCTAGTGCGCCTAAGAATTAAGCCCTATGTGTTTTTTAGAGATGGCTGCCCTCTTGCGGTGGAAATGAGTCAGAACGTCTGCGTGTAAGAAGTCAATGAATGAAGGAAGGAAGGAATCATTTCTAAACACCAACGTCCTGCCCAACGTTTCCGACAGCCATACGAGACAGTTTTTTTCAATTCTACCCAGTCGCAATAGTTAAAAATGACAAACCTAAATGGAGTAGTTGATCTATCTGTTTTAGTGTTTGCTAATAGCCACTTTCCACCTGCAACTCAGAATACTGCCACTTTATTGTGTGACAGTTGGTTTTGAAAATCTTTCTTCAGCCCAAAGGGTGAGATTCCTTCTCTCTGGGTTTGTCAGATTCTCAGCTTTGGTGCATCAGATAGTAGATGAGAGTGGGTGGTGTTGGGGAGGAAGTGGTAATTGGGCCAGGGGTGATGGTGCTTGCAAATTTAAGTACCTCAGGCAAGTTAGGTCAAAAAGCAGAGTGTAAGAGCTAAAAGAAGGCAAACAAACAAAACCCGCCCCAAAGTCATTGCCATCAAGTTCATTCTGACTTGGGGGACCCTATGTAGGACAAGGTAGAACTGCCCCTACAGGTTTACAAGTTTGTAACTCTCTACAGCAAAAGAACACCCCATCCTCTTCCCAAGGGGCATCTGGTGGTTCCCAACCACAGATCTTGTGGCCCCCAGCTTAATGTATAACCACTATGCCACCAGGGCTCCTCTAGAGGAGGCCACTGCTTTTCCCTTCGAACGATCTCTTGCCTGTTTATTTATTTTTTCATGAGCTATGGGAAAACTACATTTGCTTGTACTTGGGCATGACCAGGATAAAATGAAGAGCTGAAAGCATCATATTTTGGCAACTTTTCCTTTAGCAGTTCAACCTAGATCATGTTTCATTTTATTGCATCCTGCGGCTATTAACATTCCGCATTGTTCCAGCTAGGCTGTCCATTATGCAAATTAACATGAAAATAATCATCTTCACTAATGCAAAGTTCACAGCAAGTCTTAAGTGATCCATCTGCTTTCTAATTGTCATTCCATTGAAACCTGTGGCAACTTCCCTGAGAAAGCTCTGGGCCCTTTAGCATCCAGATCACTTTATGACTAGTGTGACACCCATACCAGTTCTGCTTCCTTCTTCTAGTGACTTTTCACAGGAACCCGGAGCCTCTGACAAAAGAATGAACAACACCAAGTCTGAATCTCTTATCGGTTTGATGTGTGATTAGATATTATAGGAGACATGGGTGGGGTGGGGTGATTTCGATGCAAAACTTGAACAAGAAGGCCAACTCAGGGTCATTGCTTTCGGGCCAACAGACTACATCTTAAAAAGGGAGGGAAGTGATTTTTGTGACTCAAGTAACTCAAAAAATGTACTGCCATCGTGGAGTTGATGCCAACTCACAGAGGCTCTGGAGCCCACGGGGGAAATGTCCTGTGTGTTTCTAAAACAGTAACTCTTTACGGGAGTAGAAAACCTCATCAAATGGCTGATCTTAGGGTTAGCAGCCTAGCGTGGAACCATGATGCTACCAGGGCTCTCTGAGTTGGATAGATTGTGTTTTAGGAATCCCTGTGGGTTGGTCCTGGTGATGATGCAATGGAGGAAGATAAGATCTGATGTCAGTCTGAGCACGATCTTCAGGAAACTCCGGGAGCAGCCCTTGCTTACCCAGCTACCTTCATCTGCCTTGATTCGGATCCAGCAAGGACAGGTTCTTTGTTTCTCCTGCA